GCTGTGGGTGAAGCAGATCTGCCTGGGGAAGGTCACAGCTCCCGGGAATGTTCAAAAGCAGCGAGGGAGGCAAAGAGCTGCAGCACTCAGATCCACAGAGATTTTCACTTACACCTCTGTACCCTTGAAAACAACAACAAATCTCGTGTAATGAGTGAAAATAACCACTGGGACCCCATGAATAAAGGGAGGAAGCTCTATCAAGCATTTAAAGAAAAAAAAACATTGATCCCGCACTACTGAAGTGGAGGGAATTTTACGGTTGACTTTGAGGGAAGCAAAAACAAGTCTTTGAACWGGATTGCTTCTTATTTTCATAGCACTGTGGAAAATATCTGCAGCTCATATGGAAACAAGTCGGTTTTATCTCCACTCCCCGGGCACTGAAGCTTGGAGAGTGCGAGCTTTTGGAAAATCGAGCAGGAAATGGGTGACAGAGTTGGGAACCAGACTGAAATTTCTCCAACTTTATCCCACTGAAAGGACTCTGTAGAAACAAAAGTGACTTTTTCTTGCCTTCCCCAATCGTGAGAATTCACGTGATGAGTCTGAATCTCCTTTTCCAACTTTTTTCTGGTGGTGTAGGTTAAACACTCGCAAGTAGGTTACAAAGGACTCGAGTGCTGAAGAACAAATATTCCTCTGGTGACTTCKTGGTGGCCTAGTTCTGGGCCAGCAAAGTCAGAGGAGACAGAACATTTCCAGTCACACTAAACAAACGCTGGAGGCACTTTCGGGAGAGGTCCCGGGAGAAATGCAAAGCACGGTGAAAATCTGCCATTGGTTCTTTAGGAACTGCAGGTTCTGAGCTGTTTTTGGGCTCTCTGGGGAGGGGATGAGGGCAGGGCTGGGGCTGTGCTGGATTGTCCTGGGCTGCAGATCAGCACATGGCCCCTGAACTGTCCCCCAGGGCCCTTCTCCACCCCTTCTCCTCTGCTGACCATGGGTTAACCCAGCCCTTTCAGTTCCTTACGTATTGGGATAAATATTTGATTAGAAATTGTATCAAACTGTCAATTGAATGAGAAGGGAAAAGCCCCTGCAGCTGTTAAATGCTGTCTCTGTCACTAGAAACACATTTTGAGTGTTTTAAAGGTGCAAAGGCTGTCTGCCCTTGGAATGCCCTTTCACAGCCACAAACTCCCTGCTTTGTATGGAGAGAGAAAGGATGTATGGTCTCGTGTTTAAAGGTTTTATGGGACATGAAATAATTTTGCTGGTTAAAAGCTAAACTTTATAGTGTTTCTATTTTTAATTAAATATTAATTGCAGAAGATGGCCCTGGAATTGACTGCTCAGATCATTTAATCCTTATAGATGACCTTTACGTTGAATTTATTCTCTCATGCTTACACTGCCCTTCAACCCCATCTGGGACTGACCTCATCTGCCAACCTCTTCCACTCTTAATTAGAAAGATGCCGAGCTTACGCTCCTCTTTAATGTTTATTAATGTTCCTTTGCCTGGATCCTGGAGGAGCTGCTGATTACTGCTATAAACTTTCCCTGGCAGTTCTCTGTGCACAAACAGCCCAGTTATTCCTGCCCAGACCCGGCTGCACTCCAAGGGGACACAAAAAGGGGAACAGTTTCTCCTGAGGTTGAAAAACAAACCCACCTCCTATGCTCCTTTAGTGGATCATCAGCATTACTTGGAAAATATTTTTTTTTCCTCTCCCAACCATCTTAATTCATCTCTTTTGATGCTGATAAGCAGCTTTGTGCAGCATGAAATCTCCTATCATGATTCTGAGTTGCCTGAGAATTCAGGTGTAAAAACGAACCACTGGGAGCTTTGTTCATGTTCATGTTCATGTTCATGTTCATGTTCATGTTCATGTTCATGTTCATGCTCATGTTCATGTTCATGTGTGTTCATGTGTGGAAAGCCCCGAAAGGATGATGTTCATTTACAAAACTCTGTTTGCTGCTGTGAGATGGGATTTTACTTCTGTCAATGCACAAGGCACAGGCACTGAGATGGTTAAAGGCTGAAAAGTTAATTAAAATGGAAAGTTAWGGAGGGGAAATACAAGAGTAACCCAGTCTGTTCCTTTGTCTGTCTGTGGGACACCTGAAAGCAGAGATTTGCCCCAAAGGGGAGGGATAATTTGCACTTTAAATTGCCTGAATTGCTTTGGCACACCAGGCTCGTGGTTTCTGCTGCTCTGCTGCTCATGTACATTGGACTATGTGGCCTTGGTGAAAACAAAGAGAAAACAAAAAAATCCCTCACCAAAGAGGTGCTTTGGGTGTGCCAGGAGCGCTCTGGAATGGTGGGGTGATCCCATGGAGAGGATTTTGCTTTAGGRCTGATTAGGATTGAAGTGCTCRTGCCCAGCACAGAGCACTGGAATGGTGGGGTGATCCCATGGAGAGGATTTTGCTTTAGGGTTGATTAGGATTGAAGTGCCCGTGCCCAGCACAGAGCACTGGAATGGTGAGGTATCCCATGGAGAGGATTTTTTGCTTTAGGAATGGTGGGGTGATCCCATGGAGAGGATTTTGCTTTAGGGCTGATTGGGATTGARGTGCYCRTGCCCAGCACAGAGCACTGGGATGGTGGGGTATCCCATGGAGAGGATTTTGCTTTAGGAATGGTGGAGTGATCCCATGGAGAGGATTTTTTTGCTTTAGGAATGGTGGGGTGATCCCATGGAGAGGATTTTGGTTTAGGACTGATTAGGATTGAAGTGCCCGTGCCCAGCACAGAGCACTGCGATGGTGGGGAGCTCCCAGCAGATCCCTCCCAAAAACCACAGTGTCCCACCCAGAGCAGAGAGAATGCAAAACAAGAGAAAAACTTTAAAATGATTCCCTCAAAATCTGCTTTTGCCCTCTGGGGTGACAGCAGCCACCTTCTGTGCTCTTTAGGATAACTGAGGCCTGTCGGGATGTTGCTTCAGTTTGGGGATTTGACACATGGATCAAGTCCCTTAAGCCTTCTCCCGAGGATTTGGAGATTTTTGTAAAGCTCAAATGCACAAAGCAGCCTTGAGCTGTGGCTGCTGGATGGATCAATGGAACTGCATTTAACTTCTCCAGCAAAATCTGCCATGTTCCTCCTCTTGCCTCCTCTCCTGGAGTTTCTATTTAATATTTAATAATACTGTTACTGTGCTCACACTTGTTTTCAAACAACAGATCCCTTAAAGCAGGCAAAAAATCCCTAAAAAGAAAAAGCAGTGAGCTCTTTAAGCACATTTCCCAGACCTTTCCCTATCTCTGCCCTCCAGTTGTAGCAAGTCTATTATAATTCAAATCTGGACATGAAATGGCCCAAGTTCTTCAGCTGGAAAGTTGGAAATTTCTATGCTAAAGAGTGCAGAAGGGTGGGGTCAGAATCTGTGTGGGGTCAGAGCCCTCTGTGGGGTCAGAGCTCTTTTTGGGGTCAGAGCCCTCTGTGGGGTCAGAGCTCTCTGTGGGGTCAGAGCCCTCTGTGGGGTCAGAGCTCTTTTTGGGGGTCAGAGCTCTCTGTGGGGTCAGAGCTCTCTGTGGGGTCAGAGCCCTCTGTGGAGTCAGAGCTCTTTTTGGGGTCAGAGCTCTCTGTAGGGTCAGAGCCCTCTGTGGGGTCAGAGCCCTCTGTGGAGTCAGAGCTCTTTTTGGGGTCAGAGCTCTCTGTAGGGTCAGAGCTCTTTTTGGGGTCACAACCTGTGTGGGGTCAGAGCTCTCTATGGGGTCAGAGCCCTCTGTGGGGTCACAGCCCT